ATCAAAACACGACAGAGATGTCACTTTTCTGGTAGAAACAGATACGTCTGACTTTGCCATTTGTCAGAGATTTGTCAGAGATTCCAATCTCTCAGTGAAAATGATTCGCATGTCAGTTGCTATGTTGGTAGTGTCTACCTACTTATCAAGTAGAAAATATATCTAGTAACTGAATAAAGCCTTTGAGGAGCCAGACATTTCAGGTAGTAGTTACATCAGTCACTAAGTTTGATGAAAGATGGTCATTCACATATTCTCAGTCACTGATGATCAAAAATACTTAAGAAAATTCATCCAGTTGCTTGATTTCTGTTTTACTAGGTATTATGATGTACTAGCTGAACGTCTAGCCTTCGTCGACGTACCTATCTATGTTGCAGTGCCTAGTATAAGACTCGGAGGGAAAAAACGGGAAAGCAATTTGCCCCAAATACATATCGCTACAGCTGCACATTTGTTTTGACTAGACATAACTGAATATTCAAAATACATTACCAAACAACTAGCTAAAGACCAAGTATATCTGCAAATCATGAGTACCTTGGAAATATGGCGATGGGGGAGGTTGCCACTGTTTTACCTAGCTTGTTACGATCGCCCACCGAAGCCCTGACACAGACTCGGTTGAAACTCGACCCTGAACGTGTGTGGATTGCGTTTAGTCCGTGCCTGTCGCGGCTATAATGCTGGATAAGGTTCGGTACATGCTTCTGGTCTCCCCTGGTATTCTCCTGATTTACGTGGGAAACCGCAGCCACCACAAACCATTGCACAGCTGTAACTGATACAGCAACAACCCACACAGGTATAACTATATAAACTATACACTGTAGTAATGTTACATAAACATGAAGTGATCCAATAATGTAGCGGAGGGCAGTGCAGTTTTTTCGTTTTTTTTTTTGTTTTTTTTGTTTTGTTGCCTTTTCGCTCAAATAAAATATAAGTATATGAATTGATGATGATGATATTAATTAGCAAGACATTATGTACTACCGCGCCAGCTGTAACTGATACAGCAACAACCCACACAGGTATAACTATATAAGTATACACTGTAGTAATGTTACATAAACATGAAGTGATCTAATAACGTAACAGAGGGCAGTGGATTTTGTTTCACTTTTGGTCTTTTTTGCTCGAATAAAACATAAGTATATGAATTGATGATGGTAGTATCAATTAGCAAGATATTGTGTACTACCGCAACCATTGCGCCAGCTGCAACTGATACATCAGCAACCCACACAGGAATAACTATACAACTATACACTGTAGTAATGTTACATAAACATGAAGTGATCTAATAACGTAGCGGAGGGCAGCGCAGTTTTGTTTCGTTTTTGCTCTTTTTTGCTGGAATAAAACATCTGTATATGTATATGAATTGATGATGATAATGATATTAATTACCATGCTTTTGATATGCATAGATAATGCTTTTGTCTATTTCTTGAGCAAAAAGCCTGAGTAATATCCTTCTGAAAGAAAACAAATTTACAGACTCATTGTATAATCCCATCATCTTATGTCTGGGCACAGCCTTTGGTCGCCGACATGTGCACAACTTTGTTTTGTTGATACAGGCGGCATAGACCCAAAACATTCTGACGATTAATTTCGAAGTTATCGCGACGAAACTGGTCATGAAAGCAATTTCAAACCAAGAAAGCAGCCGCAACGCAACTGTTTGAGCAACTGGATACTTGCATCAGCTAGAGCCGTTTACCAAATACATGCACTCGTCAAATTATTTAGGTACCGGTGCTTATTTACGTACCTGAAACTAGATGCACCTGCACCTGTACTTAAACAATATTAAACTAAAGACATAAATTGCATCTCAAACAGTCTCCGCAACAAGGCAGCTGCATTTTGCAGGACACACGCACGAATATCTTAAGAATGCATTGAGTTTGCGTATAGGACGTATGTAAATGGTTCTAACTTAAGCAAAGAGCAGGCCTCTCTCAAGCAATGAAGCAAGGGTGTTCCACATCTCGCCAAAATCCTAGAACCTCTCCCAAAATATTGAAATTTCACTTAGCATTTTCATGATTTTTCATCAACCGATTAGAGAGCACCTTTCCCTTAAGAATTTATGGGGAGACATATCATGCATATCATGATAGTCATAACGAAGTGAAACAAAACCTTACCTTAGGAAAGTGTAGAAAACATGGCTGCTACTGCATGAGTTTCCTTCTGTACTTTCCACAGCTCATATCTGGACGTTTCCTTTTTTGAACGCAACTAACAACAAGTCACTTCTGTATGTGGTTACGGAGTGAGGTGGTTTTCGTTTGTTTGAACCCTTTTCCTTGTCCTATCATATCATAGTCCTAAAAATTGAAACAAAACCTTACCTTAAGAAAGTGTAGAAAACATGGCCGCTACTGCACGAGTTTCCTTCTTTACTTTCCACAGCTCATATCTGGACGTTTCAATTTCTTCGAACGCAACTAACAAGCCACTTCTGTGGTTACGGAGTGAGGTTTTTCAGTCGTTTGTTTGGACCCTTTTCGGTACGCCAGGTGAGTTATAGTCGCAGGTTGCGTTCTGACGCACAGGTACGTATTCTGACGTCGGTTGGGACGCGTGTGCGCCCGGAACTGGTATTATCCCCACTCCCGGTCACGTGAAGGAACGGCCGCACGTACTACCTTTAAGTACCGGTAGAGCCAGAAAGGCATTATATTTTACATTTACAACAGCGAGAAGAAGCAGAACCTGTACGTATGTAGTTTTTTTTACTATAGATATATTTTAACCTACCATCGCTATTTGCCATGACCTGTACTTAGTTCGCAATGAGCAAAAATGAACAATAAGGGTATTTCATTCATTATAGCAGGGATGGGATACACATATACATCAGATGGGAGACGTACTTGTTTTTTTTTTTTAATTTCTATTCAAGTTTCAAGTTTATTAAAAGTCCAGAGGAGCTCGCGGGCAAATATTGCCCGAATTACGTCCTCGTTACATAATTCACGAATCAATGTACACATTACCAATTCCAACATTTCATCAAAAGACATGGTGACGGCACACTCAACTTGTTTTCATTCCGCCACGAATGCAGAGAACAGACGCATGAACGGACAATAAACATACATGTACTCATACCTCCTACTCACCTGTAAGTACTTGCAGAGCTGAGCTAGTCATTGTAGCAGGGATCCGGAGAGGCAGGAAACAGATGGGGACGTATAAAATCCTTTTTTTTATTCCGACATCTTATCAAAAGACGTGGTGACGGCACACTCAAGTATTTTAAATTTATTGTTGTGTCGCCACCAACGCAAAGGATAAACGCATGAACGGACAATAGATAAGTGAGGAAAGTCGTGTAAAATGCCTTTCCTAATGGCAGGCACAAGATCGGTGGCACTGATCGCAGGATTCGACCTCGACCTCTTGCATGTCTTGGTTCCGAGCCGAACACACGTACTCACCTGTAAGTACTTGTATGAAGCCAGTATTACAGTCATTATAGCGGAAGATCCGGAGATGCAGGAAACAGATGGGAGACGTACATGTATGCGCTTCTTGTATTTTTTTTCTACTCCAACATTTGTCACAAGACATGATGACGTCTCCTGTACGTCTCCCATGTCGTGCATCAGGGTTATTGTTAGAGCAAGGCTTATGCTTAGGATCGGGGCTTGGGTAAACGTAAGTCTCCACTGTCACTGATGAGCACGACTATCCTCCTCCCACGCTATTGTTGAGCCCCGAAGTAGCGCATACGTCTCCCATGTCTAGTGTTTCCTGCCTCTCCGGATCCCTGCTATAATGACTTGCTCAGCTCTACAGCAAGTACTTACAGGCTTTTTAAAAACTTATTAACATTGCCATCACCAAAGCAGCGCACAGGACAAACGCGTGAACGAATACAAATTTTTCACATGAGGAAAGTCGTGTTAAGTGTCTTTCCCCATCAATGGCACAAGACCGGTGACATGGCAGGATTCAAACTCGGGACCTCTGAGTTTCGAGCCGATCGCTCTGTCGTTAAGCCACACGACCGCACCTGTAAGTACCTGTAGAGCCAGTATTACAGTCATTGTAGCAGGGGAGCTGGAGAGGCCGGAAACAGATGGGGACGTATACACTAGTTGTATTTTTTCTATTCCGTCACTCAGTTTTTTTTGTACTTTTTGTTATGCCGCCACCAACGCAGAGGACAAACGCATGAACGTACAGCACACTCATTTTTACCTGAATTGGTTCCAAGCCGAACGCTCTGTCGTTAAAGGCCACACGGCCGCGTACGTACTACCTGTACGTACCTGTAGAGCCAGTAAGGCATTATAGCAGGGATCCGGAGATGCAGGAAACATATGGGAGACGTATGCGCTACTTCGGGGCTCAACAATAGCGTGGGATGAGGATAGTCGTGCTCATCAGTGACAGCGGAGACGTTTACCCAAGCCCCGATCCTGAGCATAAGCCTTGCGCTAACAATAACACTAACGCACGACCCGGCAGATCCAAAATCATATACTATAAGTACTTAGTTGATCATGACGTCACATGTGACATATAGGATTCCAGGATGCTGCCACTATTTGAGCATCGGGAAGAGCGTTCTTAGAGTAGGCTATTTAAAGGTGCACCAGTCGTATGAAAGAAACCTGGCAAGACGTAGAATAACGTCACTACTGACTGGCCACCCTTATCTGAGAAAGACTCCGGAAATTCAGCAGAATTCAAACTGACTTTTGTCTCTAACTGTTACTTGTTTAGTATACTTCTAGAACAGCATTAGCATATGTCTGTACCAAACATTTCTCTGTTAAATATCCCAACAGTTTGCAACCTTATGCTTTATTGGGTTACGTTGCAGTCCAAATTTTCTTTGGTCTGTGAACAAAAAAAGTGCAGTACCCAAACTTGTCAGATGGGGGCATTTCTTTGCCCCTACAACCATGGCTAAAATGACTATTGTACAATGTATATTATCGTGGAGACATGACAAGTGTCACATTGAAGACTGAATGGTGCAAAACTTTTATTGTTCAAAAAGATTCACAGAAACAGCGGGTCAACTTGACATTCACCAGTTTTCACTAGAAGTTATCTAAACATAATTTATATGTAGATGCTAGTATGTTCAGTTGCCATCCTAAATAGATACTAGGATAATTTGCACTGAGGTTTGTGTGGCCAATGACTACTAAGTACTTTTAAATATAAGGAAACTAAAAAGGACTGTCTGATACAACTTATCACCGACACTGATTTAAATCTTGGTTACATGAATACTTCACAATCCTCCTAGCACCTACATATGGACTGTCCCTATCACAGCTACCCCTAATACGTATCCAATGAACTGTCCCCAGATTTGGATTTTCTTCTGTCTGGAGTATTCTATCCCTACTTCATGCTGATACCATGGAATGGTCACAAATGAACCATCCCTACAAAACCCCATGGCCACCCCTGTAGCATACATGAATTGTCCCCCTCAAGCGATGGAATCCAGTGGTCGGTTGAAGCCACCTCTTCGGTTCATGTATTGCCTGCAAAATACAAAATTGGATATATAAGTCTTGTATCCACAAACATGCACAAATGACTAATGAACTTGTGGATGTACCAACTTCATGTACTTAGTACCTACATGTAATACCGGCTAAGAATATAACAAGAAATAGTCATGCCTTCAACTTCAAGTACCAGAGTTATTAACCCAGGATTGAGGTGTTCAAAAATGTGATCTTCCCTAGGATTATTGTAGAACTCACTGCCACCATGTACAGTTCGGACCTCTTCATTAGATAGCTTTATATCAGATAGGCTTAAAATTTGATGTGCAAATGTTAGTTTTAACAGGGTAGCAGTGATAGTGTTCAATTTGTAGCAAGGCCTGCTGGTCTCTCCTTGCATTGGTGGCAGGTAGTGAGGCACTGTCCAAGGGTGACTAAATAACAGTTAAAACTAAATGATCTCAAAACTACAGTCCACAGTGTGACAGACATAGTCTCCACCAGGCCTCCCTACAGGGGTACGGATCATAGTACATGTATTTGGTAAAAAAAGGGAAATAGTTGGCCGGGACAGTCAGTCCACAAGAGGGTTAATTTCCCCCTCTACGCGGGCAAATTATCTCTCTATGGTGGCTAAACTTCCCTAGTCAATTATTCTCCCTGTTGGCTAAATTTTACTTTTTTTTTAACCCGCATTGTTAATCTGGAAGAGACTACGACATACTTACCGATATCTCCTTTTCTGTAGGATGTTGGCAGCACCAGCCTTGGTCTGAACGTCATTCTTCTTCTTACCCTACATGGGAGAGGAAAGAAGACCAGAAGGTAACCAGAATGCAAAGCACTTCATGACTACAGGAACAAGGGGATATATGCCACTGGGCCACAAGACTCTTGAACACCTCCATTACCACTTCCTCCTCATTTTTGAGACAGCATTTATGGATAATGGTTCAACAACATTTCAATTTGAGTGGCAACACTTATCATAAAACAACACAAACACTTAGACTGGATACCATCCTCTGTTGTTACCACTAGCTCTCCATTTTAACTTCCTAATTCTATAGTTACCTCTGAGTTTCCCTTCTTGCTTGCTACCATGTAACTAAGGCTAACGAACACCGTGATGTACCATAGCATGAGAGATTGAACCACCTGTAAAAGCAAAAATTTGTATGCCTTTCTTCACTGACCTTTGTGGAGTCAAAGTCACAGAATCCCATCATCTTCATCATCTCAATCTCATCTTCTGTCTTCCCCTCCAGCTTGGAGGCTGAAACAGACAACATAACCATGATTGATACGGTCAAAAACCGAAAACTGTATAGCTGGTCTCAGCTCTGAGAAATTCCAATAAGCTAGAACTAGAATTGAACCAGAAAGGAAACAGTTGATAAGCAACTACATCATGCTTACCCTCACACAGTCTAGCCTAACAAACTACTGGTACAGTTTTGTTTATTCTTACTCAAATACATTCATATGCTTTGTGTATATGATGACCAGCTCCTCCAAGTCTCACCTACCGCTTGCTACATAATGTAGCACAACACCACAGACAGGCACCATTTACCATGGTGACAGCCATCTGGTCCAAGTCATTGACCTCATTTTTTTGGAGCGGAAGAAGAAGAAAAGGAGCAAAAAACAGTATGTTTTTCTTCTGCGAAGACAAACATATCAACTTACGATCGATCTCCCTCCTAACAGGCGGACTGCTCCCGCGCTTGGACCTGCTACGACTGGGTGACCTGAGGAGGGATAACCAACATGGATGAGAGACCATCAGCTTATAAACTGTTTTATACATGTACCATCAGCTTATAAATTATGCTGCATTTTTTTACGTGGCACCAAGGTTCAAAGCTAGCTGTCTTTTATAAATATAAAGAGCCGAAGATAAACTGCCCAGTCCAGATCTTAAAAAAAACAACACTTCATAGGAACCTCATGTCCAACTTCACTTCTGAAATTCAGATGTAGAAAACTTGCTCATCTAAATAGAGACTGACTGTGGAAGAATCCTACATTTGGCACTTTCAACAAAAAGCAAAAATGTAGAGAGGTATTTGTGGACAGGCAAACTGCCCCTGTGGCCTGTAGCTATGGGACTGACTGACTGAGTGAGATAAGTATCTGTGAATATCTTACCCTGAACTTCTCCGTCTGTGGGGTGACCCTGACCTTGATCGTCGCCGTGGAGACCGAGACCTACAAGAACAAAGGATGAGCAAAGAAGAAGAAGAAACTGAGCAAAAACAATGTGCTTTCCTTCGGTAAACATAATAAATAAACATCTGATCAACCATAGGACACTGAATGTTCTGTTAATGCCGTACACCCACCTTGATCTGCATCGCCGGACCGGGGATCGTGAGCGAGATCTGGACCGTCGTCTCCCCTCTGCCCGGCGCCGCCTCTCCCTCTCCCTGGACACGGATCGCGACCTCCGTCGGTCCCTGTCACGGGAGCCCGAACGACGCCTCTCTGTTCATGGGATGGGAAATATAATTATATTCATTGATTTATTTGTTATAAATAACTTATATAGTAGATGTAAATTAATTATATGTTGTATAGTGGATTCATTCCTCAAGCTAACCGACATCTTGCACATGCAGTCATCCCTCAGTAAGACATCTGGAGCCGCATGGTTCCTGTTTAAAACATTTAAATAACATATACAATACTTGTTCAGTATTTGTTCAATTTGTTCAGTTTGTTTTCTTATTGTGCATAAAGCGAACTTCGAAGTACAAGAAATCTAGTTGAGATATTCTATGTTGAATGGGAGATTTGAAAGTGTAATCTGTGTGAGGGGTCCATAAATATTTTACTTCCAAGTGTCAACAACAAGTTTGTATATGGGGGAGGGGGGCACCTGGAGCAGACTTTACCCTTAAAATCTACTACACTGTACTATGAAATTCTTAGCACACCCGACCAGTGTACACTTGTACAACTAAGCCTTACAAATTGAAGAACTGACGTCAGCTGATCTGTGTTGATAAATCTAGCGCAGTGTTTTCATGTTTTCAAAATTTTATGTTGTTTTCTAGAAGACCTCTTTCACCACAAAAAAACCAGATAATTCATAACGTTTTCATTCCTCGTACACAAAAACGGCCCCAAAAAGTACATTTTTATCACAACTTCGTGAACCAACAGTTTCTAATCTATCAAACACGAATAAACCACAGAAAAAGGATCTTTTTGTTACCTCTTCTCGGAGGAGACCGGCTTCGACTTCTCACCATCTTTTCTTTCAGCCAGCCTCGTTCTGGAGGATCCTCTGGAGCACCTAATTTTAATAATTTATGTGAAACGTCATCGGCATCGCAGGCAAACGGAGTCCAAATTCAAATCATCATAAAAACCATAACCAAAATAAATTTGTATATGATTTATGATCAGTTGCCCTTTAAATTATTACGATTTAATTATTTTAATATCTTTTTTGTTATCTTAGCTGACGATATCGAGTTCAAACGTCCGATCTGGGCATATAGTTTTACGTTTCCTGCGGTGACCGTGACGTCACAGGTGATTGTTTTGGGGCAGGTCAGGTTACGCCAGCAGGCGGTCTGTCAGATCTCGAGTGGTTCCAGGCTCGTTCCGTCTGCCGAAACCCCTAGAGTTTTACCGTTCTTTTGCCTAACATCCGTGGAATATTTTCGCACTACATCGGAAAGGAAACACTGGGGCACGTCTCAATACTGGACAGAAAGGCGGACAGTGATCTGTTTGATTGATTCATAGACTTTGAATTTCGCCTCCCCGTCAAGCCAGCCCCAGTGGCCTAATGGATAAGGCGTCAGCCTCCTAAGTTGAAGATTGCGGGTTCGAGTCCCGTCTGGGGTAACGAATTTTTTGTCCTCTTTTTTTTGTACCATCTGTCACTGCCAGCCTTTTTTTTCGCCTTTTCCAAGCCGGCCCCTCCATGCTGAACACACCTGCGTCATTACTTATCCTGGTCACGTCCCGTCCTGACGTTTTGACGTGCGGCCCGTCTGGACTCAAGCTGTAACAAACCCCCGGAACCAATCAGGGTTAAAACCCTAACTACCTGTCGGCCTGCTACATCATCTAGCCTCCACCAGGCCTTTCTACGGGGATACGGATCGTAGCATTCGGCAAAGAAAGAGAGTAAAATTGGCTAAGGGAGTCCGGTCGCGGGGAGGTAGTTTCTTTCCCGACTGCGCGGCCACTGAGTCAAACCTACACCAGTAACAAGCCGGCCAAACTCCCCCGGCAAATATTCTCCTATAATATATAGCCAGCGTAGTTAGTCTGGTAGAGAGACTATAACTACCTGACGTCGGCCTCTACATCATCTGTGATGGACGGGGAGGCGCCATACCGCCACCTGTCTGGGACCGCCCACCTCCTCCATCACCAATTTTCCCCCAGGAACAAGGCACAATCGATCCCAAAATGGATCGCAAATTAAAAACAACAACAACAACGCCTTGTATCATATAACGCTGAACCATAACAAACCTGATTGAAAAAAAATATAACATTACGACGGGCCCCTGCAAGATTTATTCAAGCCATCGTCTCCATTTCATGAACGCCTTAATACCATCATCATGGTCCTATACTCAGAAAAACATTCAGTGAAAAAAATATAATATAACGCTGAACCATTAAAGATCATTAAAGAAACCGATTGAAAAATGTAACGTTACCCCACGACGGGCCCCTGCAAGATTCAACCAAGCCATCCATCGTCTCCATTTCATGGAGGCAGACACCTTACCATCATCATGATCCTGTACTCAGAAAAACACGACAAGGAGAGAGGCGTCTTCCTCTGTCTTCATCTCAACATGGCGCTAAAAACAACAACCTGTCTCCCTGTAGCCTCCGTAGCAGGCTTATAGAACTGGGGGTTTGGTGGTCCTCGGCTGTTTTCTTATTAGCCCAGCCTCAAAAAACGGGGGTAATTCAACCAGGTCGGCTATGTTGTCTATATGCAATCAGAAAATAGCACATAAAAGCTCCCAAAGACCCCGAAGACCCCCCAAACCCCCAGTTTTTGGCAGGCTATGGAGGCCATCTCCCTGCCTCTTCTCATAACCACGGCCCCGCTAATGTCGGAAGACCTACCGTACGTATTGCGTCTCTCACCGGGGGCCTTCTCTTCCTCCTCTTGTTCAGCCCCAACCTCCCTGTGCTAACACCGATCCTCTACGCCAGACGTCTTCCTCATTAGCATAAAGGCTAGACGCACGCATCATGATGATATATTCTCTCGGTTGACGTACCGTTCTAAAAAAAATCCAACCGACCGTCATTTTGTTGCATTTCCTCCTACCCGAGTACATGTATATAGAATCTTCTTCCCTCCCGCACTGAGCCAACGGTTGGAGGTAGCGTTTACATTACACAGTGGGCGGCAACACACAGCGACATTAGTTATGCACAATAAATGTCCCCGCTAGTTTACCTACATCAAAAATTGATGACAGGCACTGATAATGGGGACCGCCATAAGAGGCAGTCCCGTTGCAATATTTCATCCACTCCTCTGGCAAGAGTCTGCCGCGTATGTAAAGATGGTTCTGACTTTTGTTAGATAGAAGCTTATACTATACTATGTTGGACCCAAAGAAGCACTAGATATTAAAATAAAGTGTAACGGCGCATGGACCTTAAAATCAGTAAAATATAAATAAAACCTGGTGCGCCTTAAATGTGATACAGTGCGCAGCCAACCACGGATATATGTGACCCGTACTTCTACCTATAGGTTTACAAATCAGTCACCAGTCAGATACAATGTACATCAATTAGTTCAGAATGCCAGCGTATTTTTTATTACGACAGCATTAGAAGGCAATGGATATCTAACTTTAAGAAAGCCATCCGCCAAATGTTCAAACAGTAAGACCTTCGTGATTAGATTTTAGATTATGTACCTTCATTTGTATATAGTGTAAATTTCCTTTTGTATTATATGCGTGTTTTTAATATGTTAGTTGTTGCATGTATATGTTTTCTCGAAAAAACCCTGGAAGATTAGCCTTTTGGCTAAAGGGTATCGATTACTATCGAAATAAAGAGAATAAAGAGGGATATGGATGGATGTCATTTGATCAGGATATGAATAAAATTTAAATTCATGTACAATGTTACGGAATGAGTCACGCACGCATTTTGCATTCTAATACACCTGGAAGTTCGAGCATGGTTCTCTACTACTTCTGTGTCTTCCAAGTGCTAGTCACTTTCTCTTGATGTGCTGTTGTCGGTTTGTTTGTTTCTGCAGTTTTTGTGTCCGTACAGTTAAGTGACAGAACGTGGGTGGGGGAAATTCCATAACCATAGACCACAAAAGGCCAGACACAGGAAATTGGTCCCAGAAGTCTGTAGTTGGCAGGAATCTCGTCACTGGTTTTCAGAGGCTTGGCCTACAAGGTTTCTGCCCCTGGTGGGTTAAAAGTATGTCAAACTATCTATTTTCTATATACTATATATTCTACTTCCCAGACGTTTTTGACATCTCTGATTTCTTCTCCCATTTACAGTTTGGAAAGAAAGGGAGGAAGGCCAACAGGGCTAGGGAGAGAGGTTGTGGAAAAGTATTTTTTTTCCTAGAGGCAATTGTGTTCACTTTGAAAAACACCTTCCACATCAGTTTCCATTGGCATTGATCTTTTGAGGGCCCTTACTATCAACAGAAGAGATGGACTTAACTTGTATATGTGTAAATAAAAGTGTCATGAAATACAACAAAGCATATTAAAAATGCACAAGGACACAAATTTGTGAACAAAGGCTGTATTTTGCTTTTTTCTGGGGTACAAAGTCTTTGTTACAAATCATATTCTTTGCTGGCAAGACAATTCAGAATCTGCAAACTTGACAAAACATACATGACAAAGGAACCACATTCAAAGGTACCACATTCAAGCTCAGTTTAACATTTGTACAAAATCATACACCTTCACTGCATTTATTTGATTTGTGTCATGTGTAGCAAGATTAGGCCCCTACATGTTGAATAGGATATACAAAAATGGCCAACTTCAACTCCTAAACAAAATTATTGGTAACGTTACTCAGTACCTGTTGCTTTCTTAAATACATGCACTTCAAAATGCATTAGCAACACAAGAAGTACATGTACAATCAAGTTAGAAGCATAATCATCTAAATGTCAATAATAATCAAATAGATTACCAGCATCAAAGCCAATGAAGACCTACTTCAACTTCAAGTTTGCCCCTTCAACACTCACCACAGTTGATGAGCTATGTGTGAATAGTTAGAAGTGGTAGTCTCTGTTTCCCTGATTTCCTTAAAGAATCAGATTGATGAAGTCATATACACGTACAATGTACAAAAATACTGGTGAGTAAGGACAAGCTGCCCCAAGAAAAGAAAAGAAAAACACATGATATAGAAATACATGTACTAAACACCACATCTTTCTTGAGCTGATATAAATAAATAAGTTGTTGAGCAAGGAAGCATGAAGTTACTACAATATCACATTGTTACATTTTGCACTGGGAGTAGAAAACAAGTTGACAATCTGTGACTGTTTTGCTAAATTTACTCTTGAGTTATTTGGCAGTTTCACTTCAAGGGACAAGACTGAAATCCAAGTCATTTACGTGGTTTGAATGTTTAAAAAATCTCAAAGGTAACATTTCTTGAGTACTGCATAGCAAAAATATGTGTATTTAGTTTACAAATGTAGGACCTATCTCCCTCTAATTCCACTAACATCTACAATTCGACATGGACTGTTCGGACCGTCGCTATTTTTCGCTCTCATCGCTCTCCGGAGTTCCGTTTCTGGACAGTTTTTCCCTGAAGGTGACTGATCCGTCAGGCATTCCAAAGTATGCTCGCTGTGCCATGTCGATGAACAAACCAGTCTCAACCACACCTACAGAAGATATTAGAAGACAAAACACATTAGTAATTCTCGAGTGATACTTCAGAGACCAGCAAATCTTCATAGAACAGCAGCATATGTATTGTTCTTCTCTGGCCAGCTCACATTGCACTACAAGTTGTTTTTCTTAAAATACTAAATATTGTGGTCGCCTAAAGTATTTATAAAACCAGATACAAACTGTTGAATCATTGCATGCAATGCCTTTTTGCATTCCTAAAGTTCTCTTGGAAGCCAAAACATCCTGTTACCAACCCCTTTGAGTTACATATATGTTTTGTGGATACAAACAATCCACACTTACAAAGCAGATCACAAAGATACAGTTGTCTTCAGTAGAGTCCATGAAACAAAATCAATCCTTATTCTACATAAACAAGGGTTGCCTTACCAGGGATCATACTGATTTCCATGTTAACTTTCTTCCAGTCTTTCGTCTCATCAAACTTCCAGTCCAGAATGAAGTTTCCGTTGTCTGTTACAACAGGTCCCTAAGTAAACAAAAACAAGCACATCACATAAATAAACAAAAAAACAAGCACATCACTATTAGCCATGTTGCACCTCCCATCAAGGATGATAATTGCAAATGGGGCATCATTAAAACAGGAGATATACACATGCTTTTCAATGGCAGGTTGCTAATAATTTTCTCTTCAATGTCAAAAATATGCTGTACACTAGTGTACTAGAGTACATTTACATACACACCCCTACACAAATATCACAGTGCACCAACATTAGGTGCACAAAATACAGATGCAAGCAGTATTTCAAAACCTGTACAATAACAATGATGAGCCGACTATCATTGAGGGCTAACCTTGAGCCTTATGCAAAAGAGGGGTTTGAAGAGACGATTGACAACTGTTTTTGCTAGGATCAGTTTCCGCTACTCACAGCCTTGTTAGCTCCCATCCTGAGCACAGCCTTCCCTCCCAGTTTCTTCTCGATGGCCCTGATGACAGGCACGTAACCCATGGGGATCACCTCAATGGGAACTCCCTTCTTCCACTGCTCTCCCAGCAATTTGGAGTCCTTCCTGCAATAATTCAACCAAAAGGCAAATGAATAAAATAAAAATCTGGATGAAATTTCACACAATACTGTTGTAGAATTCTGAGTAAAATTGTCAATTGCTTGATCATTTCTAAAATTACTAAGAAATCGGACTTTAAATTTTAATGCTGTGGATCTACCAAACCATTATTTTACAAATAAATCAATGCACTATTAATATTACTTGTAAAAGTCCAATTATTCAATTTGAAAATCTAATGAAGCCTGGCCCTAGGCATCTTTGAATGACTTTCAAGTAGAAAGAAGAGCCACTGTACCTGTGATCTGCGATCACTACGAAGTACTTGGCACAGGAAGCAACAATCTTCTCCTGTGTGCAGGCAGCACTGTGTGTGAGAAACAACACAAAGTCACTTTTACTGGGGACATAGTCAATCTGTGATTCTGACAGCTACTTTAAGGTCATCTACCTCATCAGTTGTGCATCATCGTATGATCCATATCTGTATATATCAGTCTCCTTCAATGGAATAAAACAGATGGAAGAAATTGACGAGTTTCTTACCCTCCCCCTTTGATGAGGTTGAGATCTTTGTCGACCTCGTCAGCTCCGTCTATGGCAACATCAAGCTGGAACAAGGGGTTGATGAAGAATGGAATTGAAAATTATATATCATCACTCACACACACACACTTTTAGCATCTAAATCATAACCAGACAAAATGTATTGTGTAAAAAAAAACTAAAATTTATCACAGTCTAAGAAAAGAAATGTTTCTTAGAATAACAATTTTGTAAGCATAGCAAACCTCAATACATTTACCAGTATAACCAACTCATGACTTTGAACAAAACTTGATGTGTAAGTAACTGTAACATATTTCACAAATCAACACTGACAATAGAAGAGGTGAACAGTGACTATCCTTACCGAAGGTGTGCGCTCCAAGTCAGACACCGTCAGGCCTTTCTCTGTCAGCAGCTGCTTAGACTGAATGGGAGACAAACACAAACATAATCCTACATTTGAAAATTCACTTTAAAGGGTAGGTTTTCTAACAAGATTCTTGACATTTCCGAAAATGCCATACAATGCAGTGTTTGGTAAACATGCCCTTGACCTTCTATCTGGGACATGCTGCTTGAGTTCAAAGTTCAAATGCCATCCAGTCTAAGTATAGTCTGATTGATTGCCATGACTTCTAAAATGTCATTTGGCAGAATGACAAAGCTTGTCTTACCTGGAATGATGTTGGCACACAAACAACATTCAGGTTTTCCTCTTGTACCCTCTCCGCTGGGAAACAAACATACAAACAAAGCAATTAAATTATAATAGATACTAATATTACTATAGAATATGTATGTGGTTTCCCTCTTAAGCAATCTCCAGGTTTTGTGATAACTTTTCAAAATTTATTTTTAATATAAATTATGACTCATGAATTAAAAAAAGTCATGATCGTGCGCGATCACGTGAATCATTAAATATATATCATCAGAGCAGTATATTCTCAGTGAATTTGATCAAGGACCTTTTGGTTGAAGAACAAATTGTCATTTTAAAAGACAAAATACCTATGCTGCTACAGTATTTTCTATATAATTCCAGGAGAAAGACCACTTCGTACAAAACTATGCATGAATCACCAACATATGACGCACGGTCTTCCCCTGGCGGATTGTGTTGACCTCAGCACCACAGAACCAGTTGCAACTAGTTGCGGCAAAAAAACATGAGGCAAAATTTTCCCCACGAAATACGGGTGCTAGAAAGACCAGTCGACCTCAGGAAGCCACCTACCTAGTCTGTTAATAGCAAACACTATCGTAGACCCCGATCCTATCCCCAGAGCCTGGCCGTTCTGCAAAACAAGAGGGAAATCGTGAGAAAAACAAAGGGCAGTTTTCAAACTGCGAAAAATGGCGCCAAAATCAAGCATGGTGAATTTTTGAAAAGTCGATATACCAAAGGTCGCTTCTCACCTTGACGTGGTTGTCTATGGCCTGGAACGCCGCTGACTGCTTAGCCTGTGTTATCAAGTCCATGTCTGAAGAATAACACCTTCTTAGGACGCAGAAATGGCTCGGTTTGAGGCCCTTCGTCGTCAGAACGCACGAGGAAATGCGTGCAAGTGTGACGAACCCGCGCAACTTCATTCAGCTGGGTGGTCCTGAGCATGCTGGGAAAGCTGGAACAGTCCACACGTGCAGGGGTAGGAAAGGTCGCGTTTTCAACATTAAAAATCCTTTCTAGACACATGACTTAAACAAAACGCATGAATATGATTTGTAAAATTTCAAATAAATATTTGTCTTTATCATTTGCATACCAGTACCATGTTATCTTTCATTGTGATCTACTAAAATTTACGAATTATCCCCATAAATGGTATCTCCCTATATTTCTCGACCAACTCGTAAACAACAGTTTGTTTTCTTGCAAGGCCGCGGTGAAAAAGGCACACCAAACATCACATGAGAACCACACCGACATTTCTCTGCCGCAAATACATCTAAATTCTAATGTAAAGGTGAAAGTCGTGATTGGAGCCACGTAAACGTCGTCTGTGGAACCATGGAGGTAGAAAAAAATTTCTACCTCCATGGTGGAACGTTTTGGAAGGCTGACTCATCACACTGGGCCAATCAGCGCTTGGCGGAAACTAGGGGTCAACGTTAGGTCACCTTAACAGACGATTCCAAGTCATAGGGAATTTTTGTAATAGATAAAATATAAATATATAGTTTAAAACACAACATTAATCTTTACTACTATTTAAACTTATTGAAGTCTTATGAAATATTCTATTTGTTGTAAACAAAGCTTAATAAAGCCAGTAACTTTGAGAATCGCTGAGTTTGATATTTTCCCTTGTTCCTCTTCGTAATGGCAGAGCCCATTCTGTTTCCGGTAGTGTAGCGAAGCCCAAACTTTTAGATCTGCACACAGAGTTTATATCGATCTGCCTCCGTGTTTGTGTGTATGTGGCCGTTGCACCGTAATTTTCCACTCATGTAGCGCGCTAGCCCGACGCTGTGCTAGCGTCCAGCCATGGAGCCCAGGCTCGCGCGACTTTCCTTTTTCGCCGCTTCTACGTTTTTCGCTCTTCTGTGCTGCAGGAGTTTGGCAGGGTTGCCAGATGTTGGTGAGACGGAGGAGACGTCCCTCCCACCTCACGAAGATGTGCTTGTAGTTGACGTTCCAGATTCAGAGGACGAGGTGCGAGAAACGCCTGCGTGCGGCTCGACGCATCACCGCTCTCACACTCCGTACGTCTGATACATTTCTCTCAACTGTACACGTATCTCCTTTTTAAATATACACAGATCTGAATGAGTAAGATGTCTTTAGAATAGAAAGTTCGAGAAGTATTTGAAGTGACGTGTCTCTACTAGTGTGGGGAGTTCCCGATGACGTGACATGTAAACAAACCGTGACTGACAGGAACGCTACGTTACAAAGATGAAATAAATCGTGTGTAAACAAACGGCAAATAAACAGTTAACATTAGTAAGTTGAGAGATACAAATGAATTCAAAGAATGTAATTTATTTTTAAAACTCACTGGAGGGTGCCAATGTGGTCTTGTGGTTTATAAGATTGTTGACTTCTTGAATTATAAGGTTCTTTGGTTGAATCCCTGGCAGGCGCATTGCTGTGCCCTTGCAAAAGGCACTTTACACCTATTTCCTCACTGCCTCAGGTGCAAAAGAGTGCCTATCTAGATGTTCTCTCAGATGAAACGTATTGGCACACCTCGAGCATGTCAGAACAAGTACTAGTAGGGGTCCTTCCTGGATCAATCTTACGGTCCGATCTTAAACTGCTTGTACAAAACTGGCGTGTTACACCTACAGGTGGTTTACAGGTTTAGTAAAACAAACAAAACACAAATAAACAAGTAACATTTAGGTTATATACTAGTATTTTGAACACTCTTAGTCCTACCCAGGCTTGGAACTTGAAATCGTACTGTTCAGTGATTGGCATGTGTCTCGCCTTCATAATTGACACCTGTCATTTAACCCCCAGACCCCTTGTGTTGGTGAGCACCCTGGATGGGAAGGTCTCTGCACTGGACATGTACAATGGTGGTCAGCTGAAGTGGACGCTGGACACAGACGAGGCTGAGCCACTGCTATCTGCCAGCATCAGCAGACTGGAGGTGAGACATCAGAATTGGTCAGATGTTAGAGTGGGAGTACATCCATCCATCCATACATATCCAGGCTTAGATTATACTGCTGCCGGCTTCCCTGTCTCAGGGGTGGGCAGCAGTCGGCTAGACTGGACTCCATGTGTCCATGTGATCCTGTCCAGTGGGTCAATGTGGGAGTGATGATTGGAGATCCAGAATTCTGTACTATAGCCTGGGCACCATCCAGATTTTTCTACCTTAGCCAGGCTTACTGTACTTAGTAATGTCACACAAAGTTGCACAGGCTACGTATTCATGGAGTCGATTGGAGAACCATCCTCCAGTTAAGTAGTATCAGTATCACATGACCTTCCACACAAACCACTGACGGTTGAAGAAGAGACAAACTTCCTACTTGACCTTAGAGTTAGACTCAACTCAGCTCGACTCTACTGGACTGACCCAACTCTACTATACTCTACGATATGATATGATACGATACGATTTGATACAAGTTTTAACTGTAGCTGTCCTTTCCTGGTAGTGATCACAGAAACTTTGTTATTTGTGGCAGTTTGCATTGTCACGTATCAGTGACCATCTGCCAAACAAAATGACGTCATTTTTTATTTTCTTTCTGAGAAACACCCAAAAATCAATGCACAGGCTGCTGTACACTCGTGCTTTATAAATAAAGGTTGTGTAGCCTAACCTTGGCACTGTTTATCATAGGACTGTCACAAGACTGATAGTCCTGGGTAGTATACAATACAGAAAAATAGCAAAGTTATGTGAAGATCTCCACTGTACTTGAAGTTGAATATTATGGTGCCTAAGTTTTGTATTTGTATCTGTATAGCCGGTATAACCGCCCTTTGGCGTAACACACTGGCTAAGTTGTTGTGATATTTTGTGTATATTTATCAGAGATCATTGCACCAACAGTTAAAAAAGCTTTGCAGGCCAGGGACAGAACAGACACAAGCCTGGGTGCCATTCTACGTACTTTCCCACTGGCTCCCTGTACTACGGGCCTACTGGTAATGTTATGGTGGCCAGTGACATTAGGGAGCTAGCGCAAAGTTGCAATCTATGGAGGATAGAGACTCATCTTTCAAAACATCAGGTATCTCTGTTATGACAGGAGGAGCAAAAAACTTCCAGTGGGGTCGTGTGGTGTAAGGGCAGAGTCCATGACTTGGAACCTACAGGTCCCAGGTTCGAGTCCTGACATGCCATGATTTTGTGCCCTTGGGAAAGGCACATAACACAACTTTCCTCACTTGACTCAAGTAAAAATCAGTACTGTCCTGCCCTGTATTTGTCCTTTGCGTGGGTGGCGACATAAAATAAGTTGACATAACTTGAGTACTAGTATGCCGTCAACATGTCCAGTCTTGAAATGTTGGAATAAAAAAAAAAAAAAACTTCAGGTATATTAAAACTGGATTTCTAAAATGTTTTGTTTTGAGTGAGTAAAATTATACGTAGTGAAAAATTTTTATTGTATGGGCTTTAACTTGGAGTATGTACTTTTCCCCACAGTTGACACGAAACGGCCGTCCCATGCAGCTGATTCCCTCCCTGGACGGTGGGCTGTTCCAGTGGGACGGAGAGAGTCTGGAGGCTGTTCCGTTTACCGCCGACACCCTTGTCAGCTCCACCTACAAGATGAACGATGACAGCATGTTGGTGGGGGGGAAGGAGACCAAGACTTACGGAGTCCACGCCAAAACTGGCAAGGTTGGCAGCCTGATTTTTCAATGCTTAAACACTGATTTACAAAAATATTTAAACAGGTTGATAGATCCAAGAAGTTCTACTCCTTGGTAGAAGTACTAGAACATGCGTATGATGTAGGGATTTTCTTCATACACAACAGGTAATGTTTCTCACCTGCGCACGTTTCGGTGCCTGTCAGACATCTTCCTCAGAGCTTCTGACTGGAATTCTGCCTCTTGCTGCTATATGTAGCCAACCCCAGTGATGAACTGGGACGAGGGGTGATACAAACTTAGCGATGTTTGGGATTGTGTTCTCAAGCCATGAAAAGCCCATTAAATGTCCATTAATTCCCCTGCGTACAGCTGCAATATATATGCACATCCGGAGGATGCACCAACTTTGGAAGCAACGAGACGGAGACAGCCCAGACTGATCATGAGGAGGACATCATCATTGTAAAACGTCTGCAGCAGACAGTCCGGTCTGTGGAGCACAGGAAGGGCATGGAGCAGTGGGTTCACATTCTACTTCTTCTTTTTTGTATATGCTTAGCCCCTTTGCTAGGATTTGATTTGATTTATTGAAATTGTAACAATACAATACACGTGGGACACAGGCAGCTGTTGCTGGTGTTGCGTCCCACACATACAAACAAATACAGGACAGGACAATACTTATTTTCACTTGAGTTAAGTGAGAAAAGTTGTGTATAAAGTCCCTTTCCCAATGGCACAGGATCGGTGGCATGTGAGGACTCGAACCCAGGACCTCTTGGTTCTGAGTCGAGCACTCTGCCATTGCGCCATACGATCCCATATAAATGTAAGGAAAGGAAAGGACAACATAGAAGGGAACATAGATAACTGATCTTGTCCTGAATCACTAGTATGTTCTTTTTATCTCGGCCGCCTGAAGCGGCCGAGGTATTGTGCTCCAAAATATGTACGTTCGATCGTGTTTTCGACCGTGAAAAAAAACCCAATGAAACCAATTACTCTGCATGTATACTTTACTTTGTGGTGTCGACCTACCGGATGATAGTGTCGTTATTCTGATACAACGAAGTTGCTAAAAAAGAGGAAATGCTGTTTACCACAAAACCATTGTTTTATATCATAGTATGCATTTAATGTTCTAGAATTTCGCTAATAGCTGCTGTAATTGGACCAATAAATCAATGACATAAATTATGTACATTAACCTTCCATATTTGCTTCAGTCGCAAGATGTCGCTTTTGATTGGTGAATAAATCACTGTGACGCAAGTAAATATTCACTTGAAATGAGAAATTACCGCCCAACAAAACGGACCATTAGATTCCCAGTGCTGTATTACTCTTTTGTTCTTGTGGTCAACTTGTTTTCTTTGCTTGAATCGCGTAAAAGACCAAGGAAAATACAATGAAATCGGCAATCGCCGAGCCGCGCCCCGATCTGCCGCCGCCATCTTGGATTTTTTTGGAAAGCTGCAATTTGGCCCAAACCGCTAGAGGGGGCGAATTAAAATGTTTAATATATTCGGTGTGAAGTTTTAGTAGCTCTAGCAGTAGAGGAGAAGTTTGATAATGCATAGAACGGATAAAATAGAATAAAATTAAATGAGATAAAATAAAACAGAATAAAAAATAAAATGAAAATAAATAAAAAATAAATAAAAATAAAAAAATGAAATAAAATGAAAATTATTGTAGTGGTTACATATACTTAACGTTATATTGTATTTAGCAATGATCATTTTTCACTAATTCCATTGAAGCAAATGATAATGGAAGCCAACTTATTACCCTGTTTGGTGTTACAGGTATGAACATACTAGGTAATACATTCTTTCCTCTCTAGCAGTTACACAAATCTATGTGGACATCCTCCAAGAACACAAAACTACATGGCCAGCGGCCGAGATAAACTTTTTTCAAAAGTCTTGTTTTACTACATGTATCAGGTGGTACATCTTTCCTACACTTACCCCCAGTGGGTTCAGCTTCTTTTTCTTCTTCTCCATTTCTGCTTAGCCTCAAAGCTGGTATTGTCAGCAGGTTGCACATGTTTTAGTTACTTTAGTACATGTGACTCGGTATACATACATGTATTACCATAAGGAAAAGAAAGGATTTTAGGAAAGGAAGGTCTGGAATGATATGGAAGAGAACATAACTGATTTTGTGTGTGCAAGGGACAAGAATCTTCCTGGCCATTAGAGTCTATTCCGCGTCACCGAGTGGGATTTTTCTCCATGTTTCTAATATGTTTGAATTATTTAGAAGAAAAGAATACCCTAGTAACAAAAGTTCTAAATTTTTCAAAAATTTGAAAATGAAAATTTGAATATATTTGAATTCATTTATATATTTCTGAAACATTTTGAAAGTGACTGTACAAAGATCTCTTTATTTAGAATAAATTTGAACTACCCATTTGTTTCTTTCACTATTCGAAATATTTAGAAATATTTCAAACAAATGAAAAATGGTAGATGTGGGTAATTGCCCCAATAAAAGTAGGTGCTAATCCTACTCTTCTGTATTCTTCTGTATATTTTTAGGTTTCACTGCTGGACACTGGTGGCTCTTTTAGTTGTAAGGCATCAAAGCCTGACACCCAGGCAGTCTACCCTGTACTTCACAGGGATGTGTGAATTACTTCCTTCCCATCCCACTGACCTATTTACAAAATGTTAGAAATAATTCGAAATAATGGTAAAAAATGGTAGAGTGCTGTTAGAAATATTTAGAAACTATTGGAAATGTCATATTCCACATCAGGAATATTTCAAACGTTTTAGAAAACCAGGGAATTGTTTAGAATATTGACAAGATGTTCAAAATATTTCCAAATTATGAAATTTCTTACACAAACAATTACAAAGAATTCAAAACGTTTCTAAATAATGACAATAACAACCCACACGGTGACGCGGAATGGACTCTAGATAAAATAGGACTGTAATTAGAAATGTTCTTCCCTGCCAGGTGGAACTTCAGTGTGGGTCAGCACGAGCTGGTCTTCCTGGAGGGTAACCATGACAACAGCATGAATGACAGCAGTGACGACGTCCCTGATGATGTCATAGAGGACGTGCCGTGCAAGTCCTCCAACATGTACAGCAGGTTGCAATATTTACATAATTATATACACTTGATTTGACTTGAATTTATGTTCACTTTCTACTTATGCTTCAATATTCTTCTGGGTGCCAGTAACTCTTGTCATTTTTGATGAAGACTTTATAATAAAAAGTCGAAACGGGTAAACTGATAGTCTCAGCCGTCATCTTCACTCACTCACTCACTCACTCACTCACTCACTCACTCACTCACTCACTCACTCACTCACTCACTCACTCACTCACTCACTCACTCACTCACTCACTCACTCACTCACTCACTCACTCACTCACTCATTCCTTCATTGTACAGCTGGGACTACTATGAGGAGGAGAGCCTGACCAGCATCAAGGTGTCGGTTCCAGACGGGGTCGTCTCAGCCGTCAGACAGGACAGACCTGACAAGGTCATCTGGAAATACAAGGTCAGGGGGCAGACACTCACTATCCAGGATTTGATCAGGCAGAGGTTTAGGTTTATGGAAAGTAGTACTATTTTCTGTATCTTGTTCTTCTGTCGGAGAGAAATAAGCTCAATGACCTGAACCAGACATCTGTCACCATGGTAACTAGTGTTGGGTTACATCATGTTGCAATTTCATAGCAGGAGGGATTTAGACTACTGTCACCATGCATGTGAAGTAAGAGTGTGAGTGTTTGAGTAAGAATTAACAGAGCAGACTATAAGGTAAACATTATGCATTTGCTTGGAAAATGTTACCTTTATAGTTAATTGTCAATTCCCCCCTCCCTCCCAGTTCCCCAGCCCAGTGGCGGCAGCCTGGACCCTGGAGGAAGGTGAGCTCCTGCCTGTGGGTCTGTTTGACCAAACCCACGTCCCCGCCCTGACATCAGAGGACCAGACCCTTCCTCCTGATGATGTCACACAGCCTGCCATGTACCTGGGTAGGTACAGTTCCTAACATTCTCTATAATGCATTTTTGTTTTGCATAGCTGGTGAACTGCCTTCAGGTGTAACACACCAGTAACTTAAGTACAAGCTGCTAAAGACTGGGTCAGTACAGTTCCAAACACTCTCAATTATACCATCATGAAGTTCTTCTGTGTTGGTAGTTACTTGTTTAAAACTTTTTGTTGCAGCAGATTGTTCTCACCTAGAGCTTTTGACCAGTCTCTCTGGTCTTCTTCAGTCGACTGACCCAGTGAGTCTTGTCACGTGGCTTCTCTGAAGTCTGTTGAGGAAGATCAGAGTGACTGGTCAAATGCTGTAGATGAGAACAATTCTTTTGTCTGTGCAACACATATCCGTAGGTCTAGGCATCGACTATAGTGAAATATTTAATAATTAGTGTAATACTAATAGTTGTCACTTAATCATCTTTCCCACCTGCCAGGTGTTCACAACGGCCAGATGTACGTCCAGCTGTCCTCCAAGATGGCTGCCGAGGTGGACATGGTGGCGAAGGCCAAACTCCTCATGGACAAGAAACTGCCCATGGCTATTCCAAAGTAGGTGCTTCTAATTCACACTTTTATCAACTGTCGTCCTAAAACCTCAGCGAGAAAGCTTCAGAAGATCCTTTCCCTACTGTTGACCCATTGTCCAGAACAGTGTTCCACCAGACATACTTTATTGAAAAGCAGCCACCTATATATGGCAGATATGGCAGTTATCAAGAATACTAGTACTAGTAGATAAAGTTAGACTTGACTTGACTTGACACACATGGCCCCGAGTCTTATGTATGTTTTTCATACCATGTAAGTATAAAAATATGAATATAGATTTATTAGTATTTTAACTGATGTAAAGTTTGTCTTTTTGATATATTTTTCTCTTATTCTCTTCAGTCATAATCTCAGTGAAAAGTAATCCACCATTTCTGTGATGTTACCTTATGCAAACAGAACACATGGTGACTTGGTAAATCACTTTCTTCCACTTTCCCTTTCCCTTTCCTCAGGGTGTCCTGGCGACCGTACCTTGCGACCTCTGACACGAGGACCCCCATCCTGCTGACCGGTGGACAGTCCCCTCCCCTGCTGACCTATGAACCCGAGCTGGACAGACCGCCTATTGACCACCCCACAGGCAATGTGGACTATCCCTACGGTTAGTCATTACTAGTAGTTTGTAGTTTTGAATAAAGAGACTCTTTTTACGCAACCAAGTCTTTTATTCAGCCGACGTTTCGGTGACCGTCTGTCACAGGTGTCGCTGCTGTAGATGCATTCCCAAACGTACAATATTTACATATCTACACACACATATCTATAGCAGCGACACCTGTGCTGCAGCGCAATGTGAACCAGTCAGAATTGCCCTGAGGAAGGTGACAGATGGTCACCAAAACCACGGCTGAACAAAAGACTTGGTTGTGTAAAAAGAGTCTCTTTACACTATACTTCTTTTATTACCGAGTTGATTCACAGTACAAATCTAGTGGAAAACAGCTGCATGTACATGTACCTTTGCAGGCTGAAGGTTGAATACACACGCGTATCAGGTCTAAGTAAATGTTTTCCATCTGCCTAAACAGACAGTGGTTATTACCTGTTCTCTGACGACCCCAACTGCTGTCCGCTGGAGGAGGGGAAAGACAGACACAGGAGGAGCGTGGAACAGAACTCATCATCACAGAAACTCGTGGTGCAGGATGACTTCACCGCACGGCTGCTCAGCTGGTGGTAAGGACAACCAGTCCAGTCAGAAACTTAACTGTTAGATACGTCCCTTTTTGGAGTGACAGGTAATACAGGGTTCTTAGTAGGCTATTTGAGCGTAGGGCCCCCTATGCTGTGATTAGGACCCCCTATGCTGTGATTTAGCCCCCCTACACTTTTTTTTGTACGAGTGTTTTGTTATGGTGAGAACCTTATCTCTGAGTATGGCAGTCTTGTTTTGGATGTGTTCGTAGGTATTTGAATTGAGGGACAGTACATGGCTGTGGGAATTACCTAACCACAGATCACAAAAGGTCAGACACTGGAGGTTGAGTGCTAGAAGCTGGCTGAGGGCCAGCAGTACGTTTGCTTGTCATGATTCCAGCATACATGTATACTGATAGTGACTGAGTCTAAAAAAGACTTAAAATGGTTTGTCTGATGTCTGTCCTGCAGGCAGGAGGTTGTTGCTATCAGTGTCGTGACCTCTGGCATTGTCCTGCTAATCCAGAACTTCAGGAAGAAAGATGTGAAGGTGAGGGAGAACGATGATAGCATGGAGCTGTGAAGCTTTCTTTCCAATAAATATGTAATATAACAAGCATAGCATCCAGGCTTGTAACATTGTGATTGTCTTGTCCTTATTTGTCATGAGTGAAACACTGGGTGATCTCCAAGACTACCATCAGCGTTTGGTATCTCCCAGAAAGAGTTCATTTCTCTGCTCAAACTCAAAGTAGTCAAGATGTTCCTTCAGTCCTTGCGCTAATTGGTCTTAGATAGTAAAATGTGTAGAGCCTAGGCCATATAGGAGATACAAGTCTCATAGTCAAGGTTTCAAGTGTTCTTACAATGTACATGTAGGTCTCCCAAACTACATGTAGTAGCCTGTTGAGATTTTAGGTCAGCAATCATGTTTTCAGCTCATAACAGTGTGATTATCCTTCGATCAGACTGACTCCCAAGGCTCAACGTCGTCTGGTTCCCAAACCCTGACCGATACTTCAGCCGACCAAACCAAACCTGGGCTGGATGCAGGGGAGTACAAGTCAAGGTTAGCACCTCTACTCAATAACTATGGCTACAATGGCTTTTTGTAGTTATTTCTCTTGTTCTCCTATACCCAAAATACCAGAATGATTCCAGAAGATAAGGCTTCAGAAAGTAGCCTGGTGGGTGGCTTGCATCCCAGATCTGGACCACAAGGTTGAGGGCTCAAATCCCTAGCCTGTTTAATCTACATGTATTTCTATTGTAGAAGTAACAAGGACACTTAAAAAGGTGACCATCACATTTTGAAACTGTCTTCCCTGGAAACAAGTAGATCGATCTTGCCAAACATACCATGGTTGTAATGTAGAAGTTAACATTGCTTTTGACAGAATAGAAGGGAAGTGATCATAATAAATAAGTGCACTAACATTGACTTGACCCATTTTCTTAGGTACCTGACAGACTTTGACCTAGTGCAGTGCCTGGGAAGGGGCGGCTTTGGGGTCGTGTATGAGGTCAAGAACAAGTTTGATGAATGCAGCTATGCCATCAAGAGAATCTCACTGCCAAACAGGTTAGACTAGAGTGTTTTTCTCTTGGATGTAGAGAAGGATAGTAGCATACTCCCTGGCTTGTCTGCAGTATATACGGTGCCTGTGCAAAACCCATAATGTATTTAGCATAGCACTTCGGCAGAACATATCTTTTAGGTTGTATTAAATTTTGAGTATTTAAGGATGACATCCTGTCTTAAGTTTATGCAACGTTAAAACAGACATTCAAAGAAAGCCTTGAAAAATCTGGGTTTCATGAAGGCGCAGTATGTTCTGCTGACATGGAACAAACTTCTTGGCGTGTTACACAATCTCTCACCATCAAGGACTGATTGGGCCTCTTCCCTTTTAGAGGTTTTACTGTATTTGTTGTATAATTACATTATTACAATGCCAAACACAGTCAGTAACTCCCATGGAATCATATCCAGTTGCTTGAGTAACAGTTTTTTGGTGTATCTTCTTGATGTCTAACCTTCACCAATATACATTATAGTTTAACCCACGCTTTTCCATTGCCATACCCAGGAAAGATGCCAGAGACAAGGTCCTTCGCGAGGCGAAGGCGCTGGCTAAGCTGGACCACCCCGGGATCGTGAGGTACTTCGGCACCTGGGAGGAGACTCCGCCGCCCGGCTGGCAGGAGGCAAAAGATCGGGAACTTCTCGGGGAGCTCAGCGGGTGAGGGATTTGTTATGTTCACCTTCGCAGAAGGAAAACATTTAATATTATATTGTTTTTGCTCTGTTTCTTCTTCATTTCCCTTCTTCTCCAAACAAATAAGGTTAATGACCAGGACCAGACGTCTGTCACCATGGTAACTGGTGTTGGGTTACATAATGTTGCAAGTGCCATGCAGAACTGAGTTCAAGAGAGGCAGCATGGTCACCATATATGAGTGTGTTTGAGTAAGAATAAACAAAGCAGTAGTGAAGGTAAACATTATGCATTTTGCTTTGCAAATCTTACCTTTCTAGTTAATGGTGTTGTGTGGTGCTGTGCTGAATAATCAAATGACTAGGCAAGCATCATACAAGATGAAGATGTCATGGCCTGTTCAGCCTCAATGTGGGATCACCTGTATCTTTACATATTATCAAAAGTTCATGTTTCTCAGTTTGTATTGCTCATCAATGAAGATGAACATTTATGCCAATCTTTCTTTAAGTTTGCTTTCTTTTTGCTGACTTTTTTTACCCCCCCTCCTCCTGCTACAGAACCATGGCCAGCCTGCCGAGCTCCCCTAACGCCAGTTCTGCCGAAGTCATCCGTCCCGTCAGACGGGCGGCTCAGCTCCACTTCTCTCGGGAGACCAGCGTGGAGGAGACACCGCTGGACAGAACCAAACCGCTGTACCACAGACAACTCAGCGACTCCTTCACTCAGAAGCTCGCAGATCTCTCCGGAACCGGAGGGTTTGTACCAAAACTCGCCCAGTATGACAGGGAACACACCGAAATTTCTGAGTCTTCGAGTATCGTGTTTGAGGACGTTTCTGCGAACAACGATGACGGCAGTCTTCCATTCCAGAGCTATCAACGTTCCATAACCAGAGGAGAGAGCAGCGGTATAGGAACTTCAACTAGTGTCGTCGCCAAAGATGATTCCTTCCAGATCCTGTTCGAAGAGTCGAGCAGCAGTAATCAGACGAACCCCGAGGAACTGGACGGAAACGTATCGGACAGCTCCTCTCTCTACGATGTTGTACATACACAGAATCAATGCCCAGATGTGGACCACCAGTCCGAAACAGACAGCAATGCCAAATCCAAGTGCCATGATGATAATCTCAAAGAAGCAGAAAGACCAAGCAAAACAGATACAGACTTGCAGAAAAAAGCCAAAGCACCCAGCCCCAAGGTTTACCTGTACATCCAGATGCAGCTGTGTCAGAAGGAGACACTGAAGGACTGGTTGGTGTTGCACACGCCAGATAGAGACAGGAGCGACTCGCTGCACATCTTCCACCAGATCGCCACAGCTGTGGAGTACGTACACAACCGGGGACTCATGCACAGGGACCTCAAGGTCAGACATGGCTCCTCAAGGTCAAATGTTCTACTGTGAATTCTTAGGACATGTCCAGAAATTGAGTTTTATTTGATTTGATTAAGTTTTTTTTGATTCTGGAAAAATCATTCTTTGTTTAAAGTTAAATCTTTTGATCCAACACTGAATTTCTCTCACTTAAGCTTAGAGCTTTTGACCAGTGAGACTTGTCACATGGCTTCTCTGAATTGTGACGTCAATACTGGGTCTGTTGACAGATTGAAAGCTCTAGGTAAGAATCTCTTGTGTTGGATCAAAAGCTTTAATTTTAAACAATCATATAACTACCAAAACAGATTAACTTTCATGACCTTTTCATGATCCTTTTTTTTTTTTATTTACTTCAGAATTCACCTCAAAACAAGGCTCGTGAGAGCCACTTACGTGTTTTGGGTTACAGTGATGACTGCGTGGTCAGATATTTGTTCACCCTTGATTTAAACCGTTGGAGGTTGTAATCTTTATCAGTATTATCTAACTTTTTTCTCTAATTCCTTCAGCCTTCCAACATTTTCTTCTCGTTGGACGGTGTGGTGAAGATTGGAGACTTCGGTCTGGTGACAGCCATGGACGAGGGTGTGCATGGGGAGGATGTGGTTCCTGATGTCGCTGTCGGTCGGGCGGACCGGAGACACACGGACCAGGTGGGAACACAGCTGTACATGAGCTCAGAACAGGTCAGTTGTTTTCATGGATCTAGAGACATGCACCAGTACATACAATGTGTTGCCCATATTGTACTGTCACACAGTTCCCCATTTTGAACTTTAATATAATAATTTCATTAGTTACATGTAGTTAGTTAGTCCAGAGATTTCCTATTTTCTTGTGTATCAATAATGATTCTTTTACTTTTTATTTTCCTTTTAGTTGTGCTGTATGGTACTGTGATAGAATTAGTAATACTAGTATTCAATTATTGCATTGAAGGAGAAACCTGGCATAGATCTTTTGGCTCTCTGGTTTCTCTAGAACATTCATCATTTACATGTACTACATAGTGACTTGTCCTGTTTTCATTTGCAAACAACAAATAAGTAGCAGTTTGGCTATCAATCCTCTATGATTAGTGTTGGGTTTACCGGGTATGCAGAAGGTTGTAGGACAGGAACAGGTGCTAAAATATCAACCAAATGTTACATACTCTGTATTAAGAATATGTTATCCAGATTCCATTTGTTTCTCCCCCTAGATTGCAGGGAAGGCGTACACCCACAAGGTGGACATCTTCTCCCTGGGCCTGATCTTCTTTGAGCTGCTGCATCCCTTCTCTACACAGATGGAGAGGGTCAGGGTAGGTGTTAAACTGTGTACATTTGGGTAGAGGGTCAGGGTATAGGTGTTAAACTGTGTACATAGACCCTGGAGAAGGTTGGGGTAGGTGTTAAACTGCGTACATTTGGGCAGAACAGTTGACGAGAACTTTTTATACAATTACTAGTATATACAAAACAATTAAGAAATGAATTATTCTTTTACCAGGGAATAGCCTGGAATCCATCCGTGAACGCTAATATCTCCGCTCCCTTCCGTTCCTCCGCTCTGCCGCTACCAGGGAATGCACACTCAGGGCAAAACCCTGTTTTTCAGGAGTTTCTGGCAACACTAACATTTGTAACCGAACAAGCTTTCGAGTTTAAATAAAGGCTTACTACTACTACTACTACTAAAATACACTAAAACTAACATAAAACTAACATTCTACTTGAAACTTTACCTTGTGTAACTACTAGTAAAAACAGAATTGTGGAAGCTTTTTTTCTCACCTTTACCAAATAATGTAGTTGGATCTCTGTATGAGATAAACATTTTGAGTTTGTTTCCTCAGATTCTGCTGGATGTGAAGAAGCAGAGATTACCACTGCCATTTGTGGAGAAGAACAGAGCAGAGGTGAGATTTTAATGTCATTACTACAGTATCTGTAATTAAAGAATAACTAAACATTGGTCATTTTATGTCTGGAGTGAAAGCTTTTGCTCCAACACGAAGAAATGTTCTCACCTAGTGCTTCCGACCAGTCATTCTGATCTTCTTCAATAGACTGACCCAGTGAGACTTGTCATGTGGCTTCCCTGAAGTGTGACGTCAACACTGGGTCAAAGGTATCTGGTAAATGATGTCAGCCCCTGTCATAGTTGAGTGATAGTCCCTGATGTAAAATAGTTTTTTTCACCCCTCTCAGGAAGTAGTCTTGTTCAGTGTCCAGTATTCTTACAGATACCTTGTTGATTTATTTGTCCAAAACCTTTCACCCTCAGCTGATAACACTCACTTCTGTGTTGATTTGCAGGCTAACTTTGTGCGTTGGCTGGTGTCCCATGACCCCAGCCTCAGACCCAGTGCCACAGAGATAATGAACAGTCCCCTACTGAAGAACAGGAAGCTGCCCACACCACAGCCAAAGAAGCAATCAAGAATCCGCAAGCTTTCGTCTTCTAGTAACTAAGCATAACTACAATCTAGTGTACTAGCAGGGTCACGTAAATCTTGAAAGTTCATCTGTGTTGGTAGAAGTCATTATGAAGCAGTTTAAACTGATTTCCAACACAAAGACAGGAGTTGTGTAGTCAAAAAGTTGGTAAGTCCAATCTTTTGGACACAAAGACTGGAGTTGTGCAGTCAAAAATGTTGGTAAGTCCAATCTTTTGTGCTGGAAATTAGTTTAAACTGCTTCATAAGGGTCACATAAACTTGATTGTATTCTCAACATGTACCTCATGCTGACCTACATGTAGTAAAATTTGTAATAGCAAACCATTGTTTTCAGATCCCAGCTCACTTTCAAGAATATTAGGACTTATTTGGTCCTTATTAAGACTATGACTTGTTGACTGTCAGATGCCAGTAATGAAATTGTGGTGCCAATACAAGTATGGAAGTTTTAAGATATTTGTCAGAAGAAGCAAATAATGTGCAAAGATATCTTATTGTGTGCAAAATCATTCATATGGATCGAGATTTCTGGTTTTGTTGTTACAGTACCATATATAGGAAAAGTACCATATATAGGAAAAGACGGTACAGTGTTCCCTTAAGTTTAATTTGCTTCAACCCTATGCAGGAATTGTGGGGTTTTTGTTTGAAAGTGATTTATGGGAAAGGTAGCCAAGATACAAGAATGTATCCCAGATGTTCTGTTTCGTTTTTGACTGTCTTTGAAAAGGACATTCACTCATTGTGAAATAAGCTGTACTCCAAACTTTTTTTTTTCATCTCGAACAAAAATGATGATAGAATCATCTATACTTCCTTCAGATGCTGCAAGAAGGGAAAATGCTTTTCTCAGGTGATTTCTGGTGGTAAGAAAAACATTCCTCAATATATGACAAATAATGACATGGTAAGTGGCAACTGCATTGCAATTGTGTTAACACTGTTGCCAAGATCTCGTTAACTGTAAGTATATTTTGTTGCTGCAATGTGTTAAAAGCAATATTCTTGTGTTTAATTTTTTTTTGTTTCTAGGATATTGTATTGAGTCTTGGTCAATACATTGACTGCACAGCATGTATCCATCCTTTTTCTGTTTTGGTCCACTTCGCAATAACAGTTGTAGCAGACTCATGCTAAACAAAGATATACATCTTTATTGAGGCTGCAGATTGGAGACCTAAGCAGTGTGAGACAAACTGATTGTCCATGAGAAGCCAAATGAAGGCTGGCAGGCCATGTACAGATTGGAAAGGCCTACTTGCATATGTGGCAATACTTAGGTGGAATATGTATAACTGGAAGAAATGTTCTGTGTAAATAAAGGAGATCAGAGAAAATACAGGACCTGGTGTATTTTATTTTAGTCCAATAACAGAAGTCGAAAAGGAAGTTAAGTTAAGTTACAAGAGTAGCTCCAATACCTATACAGTCAGTCATAAATTAAATACATGTAGTGAGAGAACCATGTCAACCTCTTTGCATAGTACATGTACATGTATGTTATAGTCTTAGACAATAGCTGTACAAGCTGAGAATCCTGTTGAGCGATTGTACTACCAGTAGTACATTTCCTGAAAAGAGATAAGATGCTCAAAAGTCCATGCATGAACGATCTTGTCATCCAACATTTTTTGCAGAACAAAATTTTCAGAAGCCTCCGTCTTTTTCCCCCACCCCCAATCCTACATTGTCTGTCCCAAAACATCAACAATCCTTCACAACCCATCCTTCACTTGCCCCTGAAGCTGGACTTTATCACCAAAAGATAGCCTAAGTCCAATACTTAGGTGTCTACTAAAACCAAGAGCCGCAATGTGCAATAGCAACATGGCCGGTGTATCCAGTATATATGACAAGATACATTGGCACATGTTAAAGGGGGCCGCTACTTCTCACCACAAGTCTGCCACTCTTTGGAGAGTCTCTAGTAGTGATCTTTCTATGGCATCATAAGCTCTAGGACCTACTTATGAGTAGGTACTATGATGGTTTAAGACCTACACTGTCGCACTGATTGTGCCTTACAGCAAAGACAACAAAGAAATTTTGAAGACGATCTAAGGTCTAAGGAGTCGGCTTGTCAGCGTTGACCACCACCTCCATAAGATCTTGCTCGGGTACGTCAACTTCATTCTCAATGTGCACCTGCAGGAAAAGTGTAAAGAGACTCTTTTTACACAACCAAGTCTTTTATTCAGCTGACATTTCGGTGACCGTATGCCACCTTCCTCAGGGCAATTCTGACGGGTTCACATTGCACTGCAGCACAGGTGTAACAGTGGGGGGTTTATAGGCGCTACCAACAGATCCGGCAAATGGTTCGAACCCCGGCCCGGGACCAGAAGGGTTTTTACTGGCTCCTGTTTCTTACACAGGTGTCGCTGCTATAGATGCATTCCCAAACCCCAAACCAAATATTTACATATCTACACGTGTGAATACAGGGAAATGTATCTACAATGTGTGGGAGTTGGACATATACATAATTGTGGTCAGTTATTAAACAGTTACAGACTTACACACCTGTAAGTTGGGTGCCCGTGCCGTGTCAGACATCACTCCCTCACATCTCTCACAGCTCTCCTGGCACTGGTTCAGCGCGGTGAGGGTGACCGGGTCATACTGCATGGCCAGCTCACAGTTCAGCATGTGGGCTCGCACTGTGGACAGGATTTGGGGAACATGGTTAAAGGTAGCCTGTGTATATAAGTCCTTTGTCTGACGCTTGCAGAACCACCAACCCAAGTGGTAAACTATCAGGAAGCCAGCAAATACAATGCAATTTCAGGGCAACAAAACTGGATTTTCTGGTCATTCTTTTAATATTTAATGACTCCACTCTCATAGTTATCTGTGAGGCAAAAATGTGATGTTGCTGACAGAAAACTTGCTTGTATTGTACCATGGGTTGGGTGTAGCGACTGGATTTATGGATGATACAAAAAAATAATGGGACTCCTCCTCACATGGCAGTATTCCAAATGGTTCAAGTATGAAATAATGGTGAAACTGTGGTAAGAAATAGCAGTAGATGTCCGAATGTCATACAGATTTCCTTGAACAGGGACACCAAGCAAGGATTTGATAATCCAGAACATTTTTTGTCACTCACTGCTGTTCTTGTTGAGCTGTTCCTCCATAGTAACCAGCTGTTTGTTCAGGTTGTCAATGGTGACCTTGTTGTCCTGGTAACTGTAGCCATCACCTCCACCCTCCTCTGTGGACTGTGCAACCTAGAGATGGAGAAGTCATACATGGGGGCCTGCATGCCCTTTTTCATAAGGCCATGTTGATTTGATTATATGGATGACATCCGCGCACGCATGAATTTTCGGCCGTTTCCAAAAAAAAAAGTTTTCAACCATACTGTAAATCGTACAAAACAGTTGCAAAATGAGCAAAAATATACCATAAGTTACAAAAAAAATTAACAAAAACTATACCAATGTCGTAGAATGCCAAAATCAAACGAAAAAAAGACAAAATTGTAAAGAAATAAACTTGAAGACTAGATTATTCGCCAAACCATATTCTGTGCCATTTGCTCAACCCTCATGACCACGTAGATTTCATAATGAAAAGAACTTTTTTTTTTTGCAAAACTTTTTTTTTATTCGCACGCACGCATCAGTTTTGGGGCTCCCAGAGGATGTCATCCATATAATCAAATCAACATGGCCTAAGGTGTATTAAATTGGGCCTTTTTAGTCTTTCTAATCCGTAGGCAGCCGCCCCAAAAATCAACGTAATTCATAATAGTACATTAGCCCCATAGCCTAAAGCTGTAATCAGCTCTTTGAATTTAACGTAATTCTTAATCAGCGGCGAAAATTTTGCATAATTCGTAATCAGTGTCTCTCACCTGCTGTATTCCTCTGTTGAACTGGTCATCGCCACTGTGAAGAGGGCAGAGCAAATTATTTTTAGAATTCTGATATGACAGCAACCTAATAAGCGCTATCAAGATAATTATTTGATAGCCTCTAAAGTGCCACAATTCCATTTATGTGTGATGTAGTTTGATCTGTCAATGCAATGCAATGAATTGAAATAAAATCAAACATGTCAATGTAGATCACTTGTATTTAACCTCGAGCTCCTTGCTGGTTTTTAGATATGTTATTCAGGAAAAGTCCATGATGTCTTTCACTATGAACTAACAGACTGTGAACATTTAATCTTCAAGCAGACTGAATATGGATATGGAGAATATGGACCAGCAAAATCAACAAACCTGCTGTACATTCTGGAGTCGGACACGAAAGAAATGCTGGTTTGACCGGTCGCCATTTTCTCTGAGATGTTTTCAGACTTGGAAGAGAAAAGATTCAGATAGTGGAGACAATACTTAGATGCTTTAAAATAGCGAACTTTCACGGTAAAATCAAACGTTCGGTGGCAACAAAATGGTGGTTTGACTGCTGCGTACACTTCTGTGTTTTGTTTCGTATCGATTTATTTTGCATCGAACCGGATCTAGAGAGGCACTAACTTGAGCCGGAATCACAACACAAAACTAGCTCAGATTGTAGGTGAAATACTTATAACTTATAGAAATGAGTTCTTGATAGTAAATTTCTAACGAAGAGATATTTTAGGATCTTTACGCTACTGTATGTGTAGAAGTAAAACGACGTCAATAGAGTTGTTCACCGTGACAGATGAATTTGGCAGTGCGTTCGTATCAAACTACAAAACGATACGACGAATTTACTCGATATTTTGAACCAGAAGTGTACTCTGTGGGTACTGAAGACATTTCCATACCTTGTTTTATCAGATATGAAGACGTTTTCTCCTGTTTTATGCACGAAATTCAGCCTCCAGGTCGGCCCATCGGCGTCGTCTGCTAGCCACTGCTTCTGACGGACTCGGGTATCTTCGGTAAAGTTCGGAAAGCCGAGTGCCTACCGGGAATTTCAAGTCAACTTAATCAAATAACAAAACTAACATTCATACAAATGACTGTTTCGAAGATTATTTGAAGCTTCAGAGCTGGAATATTTGGCTGTAGACATTTTATTTTCAAATTTCGTAAGTTGTCAAAGTTTTGAGGGTCACGTGACGTCATTATTTGGGTGGCCATTTTGGTGACCCACGTGATGAGAGTTTTGTGAATGGTTTGTTGACTTTCCAAACTTTTCTGTTTATTTTGTCGACGTTTAGAGATTGTTCAACGGTTCTGTGTATTGTACAGAATGTTGTAAACATGGTAGGGATGTAGGGATATGTTTTGTTTGTCAGTATAAAGCGGTAGCAAATCTTTGAGATGTGAAAACCACTAGTAACTTTGTAGCTCCCCCCCCGCCAAGAAAACAACAACATATTAATTTATGCTCCTGCAAAATAAATGAAACATAGAAGTTTAAGATATTACTACATTTGATTATGGACGTTGAGAAAATTAAGGCACAAATTGGGTGCACTTTTGTTCTTGAACTTGCAACTTAAATGTTTGTAATGTTGTTGTTTTAACTTGAATAGATAACAATTATTTGCCTGCATATTTTTCAACCTCACAGCTCACACATACACAAATTATCATACAAATAGCGGTTTTGTTCACTGGACTTTGCTTAGGTTGCAAATTTGATTGTAAAATTGTTCGTCATAAAACATGCAGATATCTGTCATCTCAAATTGAGTGTTTTTTTTTTATTGCTGCATTGCTGTAATGTATCCGTTATAGTACCTTTCTCATCCTTTTTTTTTTTCTAGTTGGCTTGAACAAGAATGGCCAAGGAGACATCTGGTCATGTTGTCGTTCGCTGCACTCAGTGCTGCCATGTGTTCTGTAAGCCGAAGCAGACGTCGCAACCAAACTCACAGAAATTTCTTCTCCATTTGTTTTTCTAGTCAGTTCAAAAAGGATGGCCAAAAATTGTCTTTCGTAAAAGTTAGTCAACCAAACAGCCTGCCTGTAATTTATCTCAAGATGGTGAGGGAGTGTTGTTGATCTTTTCGAAGGCAGAATTCAGGACCAAACTCACAGAACTCTTCTCCTTTTGTTTTCCAGTCAGCTTGAACAAGAATGGCCAAGGAGTCTGGGCATGTTGTCATTCGCTGCACTCAGTGCTGACATCTGCCATCTCAATGTTGTTTTGTTTAGAAGATAAAGCAAAGGCAGAATTTGACTGAAACTTCTCTTTTTTTGTCATTCCAGTCGGCGTGAAGTATGGCAAAGGAGTCTGGTCATGTTGTCGTTCGCTGCACTCAGTGCTGCCATGTGTTCTGCAAGCCGAAGCTGCTGCCGTGCCTGCACACCTTCTGTGAGACGTGCGTCTTTAAGGTCCAGGAGGAGGCGGACAAGGAGAAGGTCTTCTCGTGTCCCGTACAGACCTGTAAGGAGGAGGTTGCCAAGGGTGACAATGGTGAGTATCAGAATTAAGGAGGTTAGATACAAGTTATATTTAACCTCCTTGTCAGAATAAAAAGATTCTTTTTTCCACAACCAGGTGGTTTTTAAGTTTTAAGTTTTATTCAGCCGACATTTCAGTGAACGTCTGTCCCCTTCCTCAGGGCAATTCTGACTGGTTCACATTACACAACACAGGTGTCACTGCTATATGTGGATGTGTTCCCAAACTACTAGTATTCATGAGTATTGGCTGTGGGAGGAAGATTGTTCTTTTGAGGGTCTGCATGCCTTTTTCTGTGACTGTGAGGCTCATTCACTGTTAATCGCAGCCATCGGACAAGAGGGCAATAGCCACGAGTCTTAACTTCTTGTCTGGAATATGTGTTGCATTACATCGTATTTTTCCTTCCTTTTTCTGTAGACCTTACGGACAACATCCTTGTTGCAAACATCATCAATGCGAAGTCCGTAGCCTGTGCTAAGAAGGAGAGTGTGAAGTGCACCAGCTGTGACAACCTGCTGGAGGCCTCACACCGCTGTCTGGACTGCCAGAGGTTCCTCTGTGTCAACTGTCATGCAGCGCACAAGCATATGCAGGTAGGGGGTGCTGCCAGGCATTTCTTAAGTTTTTCTTTTAGATTACGGCTAAAATTAGTCTGAGTGTGTAACTCAAACTCTGCCATCCGTGGATTCAGTGGCCATTGGGAGGGCAGCAACCGTAAAGCGATTTAATCAGGCTAGGCTAAAATGATCCAATTAAAAAAGTTTGACAATGCATTGGTATTGTTTCAAGGACCAGTAGTCCATCTGTTTGCTTTTGGACAAATATTTCACCCGATTTACCGAAGAAAACGTTGCTTCTGAAAATGTGTCAAATGATGTTGCAGTGTTCAAAGGGTTTGAAATTCAGATGTCAGATCAAAAATCCTATAGCCTTACCAGTGGTCAATAAAAAAAAAAGACTCTGAGGCTAGTGTTCCCCAATTTGTGCTAGGGTCAGTTGGGAAACGAAAGACACAACATTTTCCACCTAGGTCTTATAAGTAACTATATGTAAGAATGATCTTCATATTCCCATGATTGCTTTTCACAAATACTGTTTTGTTTGCAGATTTTCCGCAGCCACAGGATCCAGAACATCTCCGAGTTCTTCAGCCAGCAGCAGGCTCAGAAGAGGCCGCTGTACTGCTCCAAACACCAGGGGGAGACCCTGGAACTGTTCTGTGAGACCTCAGGGATGCTGTGCTGTAGCAAATGTGTGGAGGAGAACACAACCATACCCAGGTGATTTTGTTTTCAAAAAGTGGCCTGTCGGCCAAACAAGCAAATCAAGATAAGAAAAGGCCTCATTCATTCATTCATACGTTGGTGTCACATCATAATGAGAAAAAAAAACGTTTGTCAGGGCTCTAAATACTTTTTTTCTGCATAACTGCACTGTTGGTTTAAAAATGACCTGTACCAGACAAGTCTTACCTGCACCACTCAGACTTTTAGAAGTGTGGATCATACAAAAAACTGTTCAGAAACCTTTGTATAAAGTATAACAATTGCAAGTTTTATGTGGATTGTGATTGTTGTGTACTAGTAGTTACGATAGCTGTACTTTTGTAAAAGATCAGTGCAGTTCAGTTCCCCTGTCAAGGGCTTCTGCGATACATGTACTGTGACTTTTGGAAGTTCAATAAACCAGTCATAAGTTTTACAGTTTGTTCCCAACTGTATGTGTTCCCATGGAACAGAAATAACTACAAGTCCCCGGATGAGATAGCAGCCAGCTACAGGCAGACTCTTCGCTCCAGCATCACTGGCCTGGAGAAGAAACTACAGACAATGGAGGGGGAAAGGGACAGGTATGGTACCAGTCTGTGGAATGTTTTGTTTCCTTAGTGCTATCTGTGACGCAATCCTGCTGGTTAGCAGTATGGTTCAAATGAGTCAAAATATCATGAACGTGGATTCTCTGAAGTGTGATGTCACCCTGAGTCAAAGGTATACCTTTGACTCAAGATTGATGTCACATTTCAAAGAATCCACCTGACTACCAACACATATGAACCTTCATGATATCATGAACTTATCATTACCGTTACCACATTATTTATCTTTCGTCACCCTCCCTGCAGTTGCCGCCTCCTTGAAGATTAAGTTCTGTGGACATGTCCATTTTCTTGAGACTGTGAAATTTTACTGTTGTGAGACAAAGTGATGAACTACTGTAACAGTACTACCCTGTGTGTCCAGGTTTGACAGGGCGTTGGCTCTCCTCCTGGAGAAACAGAACCGAGCTGAGGCAGAAATCGTCAGGTCTGCTTCTGAGCTCATCAGCAAGGTGGGTGGTGGTTGGGTGCTATGGTCCATCCTGTCATTACGTATAATGTCATTACTCGATCGATCATTTGCATCCTGTCTTTTTCTTTTGGGGGCACTTTGTGTATACTTGAGCACCTGTCCAAGGTGGCTGCTTTTCCTCAGACCTCTGGGTGGTTGCCTTGGGCTAGCCTCTACCAGGTTTCAGAAGTGGTAGGAAAGGATAGAAATTTGCCAAATAGACAGATGACATGCCAGGGGAGGTGGTAAATGTACTCCTTAGTGGACCAACTCCCCTGGCATGTCATCTGTCTATTTGGCAAATTTCTACTCTTCTACTCAAGCCTGGTAGAGGCTAGCCCTGGGCATGTTTGACAGTAGAGATATGCACAAATAAAATCTGTTGTCATTTGGAGGTTGAATGAACCATAACCAATACCAACATAGCAGTAGAGAGCCATTAACCAATGACTACTTCAGTGTACTAAAGGTTAAACTGTTTCCCAGGTAGAGGAGGCTCGTCAGTGCAGCCTGGCGGAGTTGTCGAGTGTAGTGGAGGAGAAGAGAAGACGGCTGGTGGAGGGTAAGGAGGAGATGCTTCAGCTGTACTCCCGGGGAGAACACAGCTGTACACAGGCACGCAGTCTGCTGGCACTGGCTACTGACGCAGAGCTGCTTATGCTCATGGACAAGTTCCAACAGGTGGGGACAGTTCACTAACTGTAACAGCAACAGAAAACTAGAAATAGCTGTACTCCCGGGGAGAACACAGCTGTACACAGGCACACAGTCTCCTGGCTCTGGCTACTGACGCAGAGCTGCTTATGCTCATGGACAAGTTCCAACAGGTGGGGACAGTTCACTACTGTAACTGTAACAGAAAACTAGAAATAGCTGTACTCCTGGGGAGAACACAGCTGTACACAGGCACACAGTCTCCTGGCTCTGGCTACTGACGCAGAGCTGCTTATGCTCATGGACAAGTTCCAACAGGTGGGGACAGTTCACTACTGTAACTGTAACAGAAAACTAGAAATAGCTGTACTCCCGGGGAGAACACAGCTGTACACAGGCACACAGTCTTCTGGCTCTGGCTACCGACGCAGAGCTGCTGATTCTCATGGACAAGTTTCAGCAGGTGGGAACAGTTCACTACTGTTCACTACTGTAACAGAAAGCTAGAACACTACTGTAACAGAAAGCTAGAACACTACTGTAACAGAAAGCTAGAACACTACTGTAACAGAAAGCTAGAACACTACTATAACAGAAAACTAGAAATAGCTGTACT